TACTCGACCGTGATTTGTTGTAAAATCGTAAACTTTTATGGATCGATAAGAAAACGCCAATAAAACCCATTTCATTGATTTTTTTAATTGATTTCATCACATTCGAGTAACGTAAAAGTCTCTGTCATTATAAATTACATTGAATAATGAAAGTTTCTCTCATTATTTTTTTTTTTTTTTATTTTTTTTTTTTTTTCTTTTATTTTTTTTTTGTGTTGGTTTTTTTTTTTTTTCTTTTTTAATTTATATGAATGTAAAACCTTCATTGAAACGGGGTTGTGAATGCCCCTGTTTGACAGAGCGAGAGCAGTTACAGACAGCTACAGAACGAGGCAAGGACAGAGAGCATGGGTGAGGCTTTTAATCCATGTATTTTGCTTTTTTATTTACGTAGATCAATAATCTGTAACTTACCTCTTTTCTTGTTCATGTAAAAATCAATAGTATCGGGATTGATAACCGAAACCTCACATAAAGATCACCGCTATTACGAACTTGATATGTCCATATACGTCCGTCCTTAGCGACTTCAGTTTTAAATTATGGAAAATTTGGAAAAATTCTGGAAGGTATGTAAAATTCTGGAGTAGCCCGTTGAGAACTCAAGATTGGCCAATGTAACCCGTTGTGTGAAATGGAGTGTAAATGACATAACTTAACATTCTATCGTTTTGATATTGTCTCACGTCTGTCTGATGACTTCGCGAGGAGAGGTGGTACTTGAAGTTGGCAGAGACACTTAGTCCAAATTACGTCATAGGACCGAAAAACAACGAAGACATCCAGAGACACGAGAAAGTAAGGATCATTTTGAGGAGTCTTTGGGTGAAGGGCAATGTGGTATAGCATAACAACTGTGTAGGCCCTTAAGGCTACTAACAACTTGTATTACACGGCTTAGTTGAATACTCGATTCTGATTGTAAATTCTTAACATGTGACACGTTGTTAATACAGCAGTACAGACCGCTGTCAAGGACTATAATGAAGGTTAACATATTGTAAATCAAGGCAAATATTATTTAAACCATGCTCATGGTTTGAAATGGCAAACATTGAAAGGCAAAAGTATTATTAAAACCATGTAGCCTACTACATCATCACCTTGGTCCCATCATATTGCTGGGAAGAGAATATTTACTGTGCTTGAAAACTGGTATCACATCATCATGTGAGGTTGACTTTGTGACCTGGAGAACATTTCAGCTGCAACATCAGCTCGTTGATAATAAGCTTGGGATATGAGATATTTTTGTAGCCATTCGTGGTGAAGGCATCTGTGCTATTGTATGCATTATTTTTGACCCAACATTTCTACAGGCATGTCAGAATATGGTACTATTTTCACCTGAATATTCTAGCCATTGTCTATTTTTATACCACAAGCTGCAAAATGACCGCCTTACCCCACTGTACAGGCGGGTAGTTGTTTAGATATACCTGGCACCTGCGGGCCGCAGAGGGGTGGCGTAGTTTCGGGCGACGAAGACTGCTGCTCCGGGGCCGGCGAGTCAGGCGGGAGTAAGCTAGTGTCCACAACGTGATGTCGCATGACGTGCATCTGACCTGTTGCATCTGACCTGTTGCTACTGTCTGCAGTAGATGCAGTGTTGCTGGCGTTTAGTGATGGTTGCTTTAACCATTTTCGTATAAATGATTATCCACAGATCAGATGTGTGTCACTGCTGTGAAAGCACTTTGGAAATGATGCACGCGCAGCGGAGCAGGTCACGCGCACCTGACACAATTTGTTGTTTGTATTTTTCGCTACGTTCTCTTTTTTGAATGGTTGCATAACGTTCAACTTCCCCGAAGATCTCGACGCGAAGCCTGAAGGGTAAACACCAGGTTTACTAATCTACCCGCACAATTTGTCCGGTGTCGGAATGTCTCGCTATGTTATTACATTCTTAAAAAACAAAACACCATTTAATTTCGGGTTAAAATATGTTGTAACTGCGTTACTGAGCATTGTAACGGGTCATATATTACCCACATTTCATTAGAAATGCGTTACATTACTTCGTTACAGCAACAAGTAATATATTACTGTAACTCCGTTACTTTTGTAACGCGTTACACCCAACACTGAACATAATACAATCCATGAAACATTTGCGAAATTATGATTTGAATCACAAGCTATTTAAATAAGATACATCTCCTAAACCCCCCAACCTTAACAACATCCCTACCCTACCTGATATTATTAATGTGGCTAATGTTATTCATTATTATTAATTCGCCAACATCTGAGCTTTCTCACTCCTGTATCGTCTACTTTACTTTAAATGAGGCCATCACTTTAAGAATGAACATTTAACTGTAAAAGATTGAGACTATTACCTAATTAGGAAATGTGTACTGGAGTAATGTATTTGTTTAGAGGTTGGGTCTTCTTCTCATAGACTTCTACACAATGAGCATCTTATCAGCATCTTTAGGATATGTAACAAAACATACTTTTCAGGCACATATTGATAGATACATACGCACATACACACCTTTATAATAGGATTAGAGACTGTATGCCACACACTCACATACAAGCTGAACTTATGATAAATCAATGACCAACAGCCACCTTTAGCTCTGTGTAGGTAGGCGTTAACAAGAAGCGGTTT